ATTGGGGAGAAAACTTGACACTTAGTGTGTTTTCAGTCTTAAATGCTGCTAGGATGAACATGGAGCTTGAAGTTTTCTTAAATAAGGTTCCGAGGACGTTCTCTCCATTAGCGGGACCCTTGTTTGGCAGAAACTCATAGTTTGCCTGAATCGATCCAAACACCTCTCCACTGTTGTAGTCGGTCATTGAAAGATTCTCTTGGATGCCTTTAGTGAGATAAGTTTTTCAAAGCCTTAATTGTTTAGCAACAGCGTCCACTGAGCAACATCTGTGATGTCGGTTACATCTAAGCCGTTCAGTCAATATAAAGCAAATTAAATTTAGCTAAGTTACTCACGCACAACATCCTGCGAAAATCTAGACAGGCTGTTCCAGGGAGTCTCATGCTTGAAGCTTTTTAGTGCCTCCGGCGTATGCATTCAAATATTTTCCTGAAATCAGCTCAAATACAGTTGATGGGAAAAACACAACAATACCAATATCTCGAGGTCCTGACTACTAGATAAAAGATCTGGTCGCCGGTTTTTGTAGGAGCTTTCTTAGCCCCAAGCTATCTCTTTTCAACCGAAACGTTTCTTTTCTACATGCATCCGCGATGCTCCCTCTTTCTGTCTACCTAAATTGTCATTCCTTTGTAAGTCAGGTGGTACATGCAGGATCCGTCACGCCCGACGGCAGCATATTTGTTTGGCCTCGACTTTGCAAACGCGTGGGAGTTGTGGTAGGCGTCTGCACGCAAACACTGCCTGTTTCAGTGTGCGCCCACAACCTCGTTTTTGGCACACTTACCTTTCGTCATCATTAAAGTACTCGAATATCTCATCGAGAATGCGAAATCTAGTCTGTCTCTGGGGTCGGTTTGTGAAGTTAATGTTTAAACTATCTTGTAATATTTATTTTGCATTTAGTTCAAATGGTTTTCTCGTTAAATAGACATTTACTCGCATTCCTGACATTAAAATTTTACCCTGCCTCACAATGTCTAAGTACATAATCGTTAAAATAAGATCGATTAATTAAAAGCTTGTCAAAGGAAGTGGAACTTCGTTAGGCTGTCTCTTGTAGTGTGCAAACTGATGAGCTAGAACTTTTTCCGATATTGTCTTAACATAATAAAAAGACTTCGATGTGAGGGTGAGATTTTGCCAGCTCAAATGATTGGGCTAATTACGCCAAGTCCTACCGAATCTGCAGGACCAAAAGTCACTCAGACGTGAAAATTTCGGTTCACGAAAGGCCATCCCTCAGTGCTTGTTTCCCTCTGCCAGTTTTACAAAGTGATAGTGCTATGCTGCGGTCATATATGCGTAAGATTATGTGAAACCACCGTTATCATGTCTGATTGACTTACGAGAGTTGATCAGAAAACTTTACTGAGGGCAATCAGATGAAAATCTTACTGAATTAAAACTTAAACTCGGTGAGCACAAATCTCGAGATTAACAATTAAAAAGAAGTTGGATGTGTACAATTTAACTGTGCGTTCCCTTCATTAGTACACTAAGTAGGTGTTGAACTATGTAGGGTAGCTTAGCTTTGCATGAGCGTGCTTACAAGGTCTCCCATGGGAAATATTTTAACGTCATCATTTTTAAAGCTGGTTTAATGTTTGACAAGTGTTATTAACTTTAAATCGACTAGATATTGCCACTTTGCTTGGAACATTATAAAGTTACACCATTTAATCCGAAACGTCTCCGTGTTTTGCCGGAAATGCACTCAACATGGTTCAATTTGGCTAACATATGCGGGGGATCGAGTTGACCAGGTCGCTATAGAGAATGGGACGCAATACCAGGAATGCTTCCCATTTTGTAACCCTGAGTCTTTACTTTCTCCGACAAAACCTACTTATCTAAAAGGTAGAGCTAAACATTTTCGATTTTAATGTTCCGGTAATTTGTACAGCTTCATCCTCGATAGTGGACCACCATACGTTTTTAAAATACTTTACTGTTATTGACAGGGGACAGATGAAAGCTGCAGAAAGTATATAGGAATTCGATAGGGAGAAGCTAAACAAGCATAGCTACACCCTCTGGACTTTTATGTCACTAGACCACGATAATAATGTCTTTCGTGTGGTACTGACATGCTGTTCGAAACAAAACATTTGAGGTTAAAATAAGTGGGTTTGTGTGTGTGTGTGTGTGTGTGTGTGTAAAGATGGTATATCTAGGAAAAGGGGTAGGGGAAGACAGAAAGAAAGAAAGGACATTTATAATTATCACAGTTCGCGTGGTTGCTGGTGACAAGGCTTTCCGTGACATTTAGGCTTTGAAAGAACTCGATGGGAT